CCATCTGTGTCGCAACACTTAGACCAGGTAATTATTTTCTGCAATTCGATTACTGTCTTTTTTTTGCCTAATGTGTATTCTGTATCAATTTTATTTATGTTTATATTTTCCTTGCTTTTGCAGATCTCATCTGATGCATCAGAACTGTTCCAAAATCTAAGAGAAGGAAGATTTCTAGTTCTCCTATGTGTGATACCAGTGATATCCCCAACTTCAATATATGTTCATTTTCACTTGGTAGTATCACAAGGGGCTGATTCAGAAGGTAATTCTGCTGGTGTTGGTGTTCGTGAAGAGACAGAAGAACGTCGTGAACAGCAGGGAGTTGATCAAGCTGTAGTTCCCCACCCTGCTGCTGTACAGCACCATTTAGTTGTGACGGAACAGCAGGAAGAGCAATCAAAAAGAAAAGAAGATAAAAAAAAGGGAAAAGGATGCGTATGGAGAGTATTTGGTTGAGATCTCCTTATGTAGTTTATAGGAAAAAGCCAAGGGGGCAAGATTGGATAGTAGAAAGAATAGAAGAAGGTGTCCCTTCCATTATGTTTCTCAAGACAGCGGATTGATCCAAAGATTTAAAAAGTGGTTGGAGATGGATGCCAGTGAATATGATTCCAATCCATTGAGATTAGCTGGACTTCATATTCAAAAATCATTCTTTACCGAGCTTATGGATCCTGACTCTGATCTTGCGGATGAAGTAAGTTATTAACTTTGTTTTTTGAATTGGTTTTCAACTGTATTTCCCAAAAGTTCAGTTTATTTTTTGTAGTATAGATTTATTCATAGTAATCTGCTGAAGTTTTTTAGCTTATTTGCTAAAACTGAATATGCTTAAGTTTTTTCATGCTGTTTTTTAGTTGTGTAGTGTATTTTTTGTAGACTTCATAGTGGTAATTTCACATGTTATCATTTGTCGTTGTCCATTTGCAGCATATTGACGTGGGCGTATATTACTTGCGCAAAAAATATTGCTATCACTTTCCACATTATACAAAAGCAAAATGTGCAATAACAGATTTACTTTTCGATCAATATATGACTATCCTGGATAGTGTTCATCCTTCAGAAGAAAAGTTGAAGATAATTGAGAAAAGGAAGCAAAAGAGAATGCAGATTCTTAAGAGCAAATCAAAGAAAAAGATGATATCCAAAGAACAGTTGAAAATAGAAGAAGAAGAAGAAGAAGAAGAAGAAGAAGCGGTTATTAAGCCACTTACGGACTTTTGTTGGTATGAGGAAGAATCAACGAATGAAAAGGTGGCCAACTACGTAAAAGGCCTTGACCTTTCCTGTGGTATCTCATGGGCATCTTGCAAAAAAGTATTCTTTCCATTTCGACTTAAGCCAAGGGAGGGCCAGATATCTACGCACTACTTTTTTGGATATCTCGACTTTGAAGATAAAATTATATATGTGTATGATTCCATGGGCAGTGTAACATACAAGCGTGCGATTGAACATGTCAAAATTTATGCCCGGTTGATTCCACATTGTCTCAAATGCTTGAATTTTGGGGAACTTAATAAATATTATGGGGACAGTCCTGTGGAAGAATTTAAAATTAAGTGGATGCACACACCGAAACAGATTAACAGGTATGTGTTTCACATATGTTTTACGATGCATCTTATGTTTATTATATTTTTCCCTTGTCTTAACTATTCTTTAATTTCTTTTTGATGTGTTTTTTGCAGTGTTGATTGTGGTATATTTGCTCTTAAGTTTATGGATATGCGGTTGATGAGAGAAGATGTCTTCAATTTTAATCAAAGTCAAACATTGGAATTCAGGACAGAATTGGCTGCCAATCTTTGGGCTCATGGAAATTGGAAAAAAGATAGCGGCTATGAAACTCCAGAAGAACGAGAAGGACATGATTATGGAGATTTTGAAGAGTCTCTGTGTGAATTTTTTGATTAGAGGATTGGTTGGTTGTACATAATTTGGATTAAAGAATATATATTAATTATTTTTTTAGTTCACTTTTGTGTCATTTACCAACTACTAGCATTTACTATTTTTTTTATTGCATTTACCAACTACTAGCATTTACCACTTACATCTTTTGCCAACTGCTTATGTTCTTACATTCAATTTCTCTGAACAAAAAACAGGTAACAATCTCTTCAGCATTTATAGATATTAAATTGAGTAGGTGCATTCTTTGGCTATATTAACAATCTCTTCACTTGAAAATTTCATAGTCATCCATAGACTTCTATCAGATTTCTTTAAATTTGTATTCAAAGAAAAACAAAGAAATGTTGGCTAAGACATGCTTATTGGATGTAGCAAGGAGTTCGTGTGAAGCAAAGATAGTGAAGGAGAAGTTGAAATACTTCATATGTGAAGGGGATTGGCCAGATCAAATACTCGAGCACCAGGAAAATTTGCTCTTTTAGGAAAATGAGCAAATTTCCTGGTGCTCGAGTTTTTGATGTGGCCAGTCTCCGTCACATATGAAGTACTTTGGACTTCTCCTTCACTATCTTTGCTTCCCACGAATTCCCAGATGCACACCAGTAAGCATGTCTTGGCCAACATTTTCTTATTTTTTTCTTATGAAAGTAGATGGTAGTTGCTAAAAAACCAAGAAAACTCTTTGGTGGAAGACATAGTGAAGTTTCATGTAATGTGGTGAAGAAAACCAAGAAGAGCAACTATCACATTACTATGGAGAATATGAATAACTTGTAAACAAAGAACTAAGTTTTTCTTTTTTTCCAAGGATGTAAGTGAAAAGAAAATTGTATTTTGTGAATATACATTATTTTGTGTGAATTATGTGACTTTGATTGATTCAAATATGTTTATGTCTTTTTTCATGAATGTCAAGTATTTTTTGCTTAAGTTTTGAAATATACTAAGAAACTTAAGCACATTAGGCCGAAGTTTCTTGAAAAAGCTTTAGGACAAAAATTATTGAATACAATAGAAAAACTTCAGCTACCAAGTGCTGAAGTTTTTGAAAATATACTAAAAAACTTCAGCCTATTGGGCCGAAGTTTTTCGAAAAACCTTTAGGACAAAAACTATTGAATCCAACAAAAAACTTCAGCTGCCAAGTGCTGAAGTTTTTGAAAATATACTAAAAAACTTCAGCACATTGGGCCGAAGTTTTTCCAAAAAGCTTTAGGACAAAAACTATTGAATCCAACAAAAAACCTCAGCTACTAAGTGCTGAAGTTTTTGAAAATATACTAAAAAACTTCAGCCTATTGGGCCGAAGTTTTTCGAAAAACCTTAAGGACAAAAACTATTGAATCCAACAAAAAACTTCAGCTGCCAAGTGCTGAAGTTTTTGAAAATATACTAAAAAACTTCAGCCTATTGGGTCGAAGTTTTTCGAAAAACCTTAAGGACAAAAACTATTGAATCCAACAAAAAACTTCAGCTGCCAAGTGCTGAAGTTTTTGAAAATATACTAAAAAACTTCAGCCTATTGGGCCGAAGTTTTTCGAAAAAGCTTTAGGACAAAAACTTTAGCATATTTTGATATTTTTTTTAAGTTGATACTTATCTTTTTTGCATTTACTGTCTACTTTTTGTCTTTTGTCAACTACTTCATCTTTCATTTAAATTTGTTTCACTATATAGTAAAATTTATTTTTCAGGCTGAAGTTATTTTTTTACTATATAAAATTTGTGGGTTTTACAAGGGCTGAAGTTATATTTCTTTTTGCATTTATTACATACTTGTTTTTACCACCTACTAATCTTGTCTCATTCAATTTCTCTGAACGTAAAACAGTAAAAACAGCTGAAAAGTTACTTTTACATTTATAGATATTAAATTGATTATGTGAACTCTTTGTCTATATTAACAATCTCTTCACTTGAAAATTTCATAGTCATTCATAGACTTCTATCATATTCCTTAGTCTTTCAGCATTTGTTAAAGAAAAAATGTCTGGTGCAAGCGGAAGTGGTAAGCCTAATATGAATGAAATTATGAAGAAGTGAGAGAGTTTGAAGTGTGAATGGTACAATAACAAACTGATAGCTAATCTTATTCTTTTGTGGAATGAAATAAAGGCTGATTGGGAGAGAATCAGACCAAAGCTCTGTGCAAATGAATCATTCCAGAACAGGCTTAACCTGGAACGTAGTTGTGGAGATTATTCAACCTCGTTCGACAAGGTTGTGCAGCAGTTTGATAGTTTTAAGTTTCCCAGCTTGACCGACTATTCCAAGCTGCAAAACAAGCTGAAGATTCTTCTTCCTCTTATGGACAGAGTAATCGTCGAACAAAGTCAGCTACGTGATGAATTCGACAAGTTGAAGATTGATCTTCTTGGATTGAGTGGTCTTTTGCCCGACTGCCCTATAGTTATCTCCGACAGTGATGATGATCAGATATTTAGAGAAATTGAGGAGTACTGTGATGATGATGATGATGATGACGACGACGATGATGACGATGATGCGGGTGATGATGATAATGGTGGTGATTGTTAGTGTTTTTTTTGTTAACTTCAGCCCATAGAGCTGAAGTTTTTTTAGCTTCATTTTGTATAACTTCAGCCGAGAGAGCTGAAGTTTTGAAATATGTGTGTTGTTTTCACCTCTTTTTATGTCAATATAATTGTGACCCTCTTTGTTCTTATCTTTCTATTGCATTATACTTGTTATTTGTTGGTATTTGATTTATACTTCTTAGTTACTTAGAGATGCTACAACTTTTGTTTGTACATGCTTTTCTTTTTGTGTGTTGTATGCATATGTGTGTCTGTGTGAGTTTTTGTAGGTGTGTGTGTGTGTGTTTTTTATTAAGAATATGTATTTAACATACTGTAACCTGAAGTTTTTTCTCGCAGAAGTCATTGCGTACGTTTTTAAAATGCAACCAAACCTGTAAGCCTGAGCAACAAAAATGAGTGATTTGTATTTTAGCAGTAATATAAAATTGTGCAAGAGCTTATTTTTTTTATTCCTATGAAAAAAATCACATTTGAATTATGTCATACAATAAAGAAAGTCCAAATTCAGACCAAGGATTATTGAAGCTTGGAGTATTTTTCAGTGTGTTTCTTGGAATATGGATGAGGTGCTGGAGAAGACAAGCAAGTTGTTCTGTTATGCCCCACTTGTTTACATCGACTGCATTTGGTAGACTTGAATGGTACTGATGATTCAGTCGCAGGTATATGCCTCTTCTTTTGTCTTCTTCCTTGTAAAATCTTTACATCGGGAGGTTTTGTGATTTCAGATTGTTCATTTTCTGGTATTTCCCATGATTGTTGATCTCCCACGGTATTCACATGCCCTTCATATGTTTTCAACCATGTTTCCGTTGAATACCAATTTGAGCAGTAATCAAATTTCTGCAAATATCTCTTATTAATAGCAGCAATTGCATGTGGACAGGGCAATTCATCAAGTTGGAATTCCAGGCAGTCACAAGTTCTCTTCTTTAAGTCCACAATGAATTCGATTCCTTCACTATTTATTCTAAACAACATTGAGTCAAGATTGAACACCTAACAAGGAATAAAAAATTAAAACAAATTATATTAGTGTATTTTTCCTTCAAAACGAAAAGGTATGAATTTTTTTAAATGTAAGCAGTAAATCACTGCAACAGATCTAAAATCTGAAGTTAACAAATATACTCACAAACATTTTGCAAGCCAAGTCCATCTTCTTAGTCATCTCTTCTTCTGCCCATATTGATACTCTGTGAAAAGTTTCATTTGCCTTTTTCGTTCATAAAACCACTCTCCCAGCTTTTCTTGGATGAAATCTAACATTCTTAAAATAGGCATTTCTCTCCCTTTTAGTAAAACGGAATTCATTGATTCTACCATGTTAGTTGTTAGCATATCATAACGTCGCCGTGGGAACCACGATTGAGCCCATCTCTCAGGAGGCTCTTCCATTATGTAATTGTATGTTTTCTTGTCAATACTTTTGAGTTGGGACATTAACTGATTAAAATCTTCACGTTTGTATGATCTTGCAGCACTTTGAAAAAGATTTATTACCATGGCCTTTGCATGTCTTTGCTTTAAATTTTTCTCAAAGTGATATAGGCAGATACCATGGTGAGCTTCAGGAAAAACTCTTCTAATACCCTTTGCGATCGACTGGTTTCTATCTGACAAGAAAACCAGTTCACGACGAACTTGAATTGCTTTTCTCATTTCCCCAAAGAACCAAATGTATGCCTCATTGTTTTCTGAATCTGCTACACCAAAACATAAAGGAAAGATTTGATTGTTTGCATCCTTTGATACAGCAACAAATAGAACACCACGATATTTTGACTTCAAAAACGTTGCATCTACTGCAATAACAGGTCTACAGTAGGACCAACCAGCTAGTGATGCCGCAGGAGCAAAGAACAAGTAAGCAAATCTGTACATTGAAACACAAAAAAACAAATTATAAGGTTTGAAGTTTTTCAAATAGTAACATTTGAAATTTCAGGCTGATTGTTAATATTGTTTTCATTACCTATTGTGCGCATCTCTTTTTATGCTTGTGTACGTTCCTAGGTTTTTGGCCACCATCATATATAGGTATGAAGGAAGAATCTGGTAGTTCTCTGCAGGTGTTCCCCTTATGCAAGCAACAACTTTTTGAATAGCACGCCATGCCTTGTGATAACCAATGTTAATTCCAAATTTTTTTTTCATTTTATTTTCTACAAAGGCTGGTGTAACCTCTATCTTTTTGTCTCGAACATGTTCTATAATTTGTTCGCTTATAAAATATGATGTAGCATGCTTCTGATCTGATTTTCTTACATCAACCGAGCATTCATGGATGTTATGATATTTTATCACCTTGAACAGTATGGAATTTTTTATTCTGGTGGCACGTACATTCCAACCACATTTGTCCACGATGCATTTCAGCTCGTATCTCTTGGAACATGATCTAACAGCAGTGAATTCAACTTTTTGATTTATCTCCAAGCTGCAGAAAAATTTAGTCATGTTTTCTTTGTTCTCAAAGATTGATCCAACTCTTACTTCCTCAGATAATGAATCGTGCCTTAGTATTTTACATGGTGGAGATTATTTGACCTTTCTCCGCACTCTTTTTCTTGATTTCTGAGAAGCAGAAGAACTTTCAGCAATTTCTTCAATTCTATGTGATGTTATCGGTATAAGCTCCATGTTTACTTCATCTTCATTGTTATTTATCATTGCAGAAGGTGAAAAAAAGCTTTGTTGGATTTTGTGTTGGTTGTCAATTTGCATTATTAGCTGTCCTTCTTCTTCTTGGTCATTGAGAAACTGGTATGAATTTATTGGCGGAGGGGATAATTGTTGTGAAGGAGTTGTAATGATAGAAGGTTGTTGCCCTTTGTCTACTTCCATTACTGGCTGTCGTAGTTCATATTGATACTCAACAATAGGCTCTGAATCTATTGCATATGCAAGAGATTGGTTGAATGTTGCTGATTCTGAAAGTTGTATTTTTTCGATGACAAAATGGCAATTCTTGTAGGGTGAATCAGTTGTAAGCAAATGTATACAGGTAGTGAGTTCTTCATCTGAAGTTACAAGCATTCCTTTGCTTGTATTTAGTTTGTATCAAACCATACTTTTAATGCATATCTGGTTGAATATATATTTGCAACTTCACTAATTTTCTTCAGGAAAGTATTGAATGATATGCCCTTATTAAGTAGAACAAGTTTTGTATCATGATCCAAGTATTTGAAATCAGGAGTCCATCTCCCACTGAATGTTATAACAACGCAAATCGAACTCATCCTGCAGATTCATGTTTAGTGGCAACTATTAGGAAAGTGAACAGAAGAATTTTTATGTTGTATGTGCTGAAGTTTTTACAAATAAACTAAATCACTTAGGCATCTTCTGCTGAAGTTTTTTTGGAAAAAGATCTATGACATAATTAATGAATTCTGCAAATAAAACTTCAGCTTATAACTGTTAATGTTTTTAGAGATAATCTTAATAACTTCAGCATATTAGCTGAATTTTTTTTTATCATGGTGATTCATAAATGCAGAGGAACAAACTTCAGCAGGTACGTGCTGAAGATTTTAGAAATGAACCAAAAAACTTCAGGAGATTAGTCCGAAGTTTTTTACAGAAAACGATAGCATGTTTCAGCATTAATTACATAGTATACATCATTAACCTACACAATTAAAGTAGTAATTATATTGCGTTTGGGGGTATGTGTTAGTGTAATAAATACATTCCTATCATATTCATGCACGCTTTTCATTAGACAACCTTTAAAATTCCTTTTTGCCTTTTCATATACCATGCAAAAGTTTTTTCCCCCTATATAAGCACGCTATTCCTTCTGAGTTTATTCACTCAAACACATACATTTTAGCAGATATAAAATACAAAAAGGAGAAAAATGGATGCTGTCATTAGGCAAATAGTGGACGAGATCAAGCAAGACATAATGGAGGCATTTGAGTTGAAGATTGATGAGGTAATAGAAAAGTACGACAAGGAGCTCAAAGAAATTAACAACAAGCTTGATACGCTTGTGATGTATGCAAGATTTGACAATCTTGCTGATGAAGATGCTCGTCCATCTGGAAGCGACAA